TTGGCAGCGTAACAACTAGAATTAAGAGCACACATTAAAGACCCAATCACAGTCAAGACTAGAAAGCCTTCAATAAACATTTATCCTTCATGATATAACAAATCAAATTTTAAGTAACATGTTATTAATGTGCCTTCACATGAGGCATATCAAAGAATTACCTATTGTTTGCCAGGATTTCTACATATCTTTCCTAACTTCTCTTACCATCATTCTCACTTAATTCTCATAATTAAGAAATCTCTTCCTATGCTAGTTTATCAGTAAGATGTCAAAGCACACATTGACTTATGTCTGTGATGTCACTTTAAGAATTTGTGTGTGTGTGTGTGTGTGTGTGTGTGTGTGTGTGTGTGTCCAGCTCAGCCCACCAGGGGGCAGGGCTGGCTGGCATGTGGTGCTGGGGGATTGAACTGCGGTCCCTGTGCTTTGCTAAGCTTGTTTAAGTAGGTGCTTTAGACCACTGAGCCATCTCACCAGCCCGACATTAAGAATTTCAACTGTCACTTCTCATGACTAGTTCCATTGTTTGTTACAGGGTTCCTACCTAGAAACTCAATTCTGGTGGGCTGGTAGCCCTCTCTTTAAAAAGCACTTCTTTCAAGCCATCTGGTTCCATGGCTGAGGGTCAGTCTTGTAGGAGTGTTATACAGGGGCAGTTAAAACTTCTAACTGGTATACCCAGATACACTCTTGGGAGTGCATTGTAATTACCCTTGAAACATGTTTGTTAAATTACAATGGTGGTCACAGAGATCCTTAAACACACACACACACACTCAGCTATAAGTTTTTGTGACCATGGCCAACATAATTTTCCCGAGTCAGGAAGAGGAACTCAGGCTAATTTTATTTCAGACCACCTTCACTCACAAAATCCCACAATCTGAATTTTACTAAATGTCCAGTTGATCCTGATTAAGTCCTACTTAAACAGAGTATCAGTGGAGGTTTTAGTTTTAAGAGAGTGACTAAAATCCATACTTATTTTCACTTCCTCAGTCATGGTGTCACATACGGACATTTACTAAACATCTATGTTATACCAAGCCCCATTACAGGCCCTAATACTGTTAGAAAGACACACACAAAACAGTACCTGCTCCCTTGGAGCTTACATCCTAACGGAGGAGTCCCACTGACACAGCCAAAGAACAAAAATAGCAAAGCCACTAGTTAATAAAATTATTTTTCTAAAAAAAATAAAATATATCCCAGGGTATAATAAAGTAAATGTTAATTACAAAGGATCTCCTAATTCAATCATTTTATTATAAATGTTCAAAGACAGTTATTTTAGGGGCTGCGGAGATAGCTCAGCAGAATAAGCACTTGCCTGGCAAGTGCAGGGTCCTGAGTTCAATCCCTGATACAGCAAACAAAAAATAAATAAAAATGAAAAAAGGTAATTTTAGAATAGTAACTTTGTGCGTTCTAATGCACATGTAGAACACATTACTAAATGAAAAGACTTAATGGAAGTTGAAAACAAACTAGCAGGGCAAAAGTATTTCTAATATTTTCTCAATGCCCAGTAAGTCTTAGTATTCTTGATGTACAGAGCCTTGAATCAATTAACATATTGCACATCAACACCTAAACCAATTATCTATGCTTTCCCACACTTGCCCACGATTGTCAAAGCCCATGCCACCATGCTCTCCCAAATTGGGGTTTTCTCTTCCTTCATCACAGTCATCACTCTTCTCCCAATTTGTATCTTTGTGAGGCAGACACAAAGCATGAGCTGTGCTATATGATAGAATATAACTAGCCAAAGTAAATCAGCTAAAATGTTCAAGTTTATTCCTTTGCAAAAGGAAGCAAATTAAGATTAAATGGAGATTTTTTTTGGGCCCATGTTAAGACCTATACATTAGCATTATTCTGTTAAGCAAAAGCAGTCATGTAAACCAGATATGGCACAATTCAACTCACAACTCTTATCAATTAAATGTGAAAATCTGGCATGTATACAGCATCAATTCTCAGAAATGTACAGCTGGATATGGTTATGTATTTTATGCTTACTTGCCTAAATGATTTTGGACTTTTCTTTATTGGTATACCCAATAAATAAAAAACCTAATGAAGAAACAGAAAAAAAAAATCACAGTTGGATAAACATGGTTATCTATTGGTTACACATAGCAGTATCTGCTTTACCTTGAAAATTCCCCAAGTGCACATACAGCACCACTTGGTAACTAGGTTTGTATCAGTTCACAAAAATGAAGTCAAGAGGTCCACAAACAAGCCAAGCCCAGTTGCAAGCTGGACACTTTAACCAGGAGAAATTATTTTTCAGCATACAATTTTGCCCCTGGCTTTCCTCAAATGGTAATCCAAAAAGCACACCAGTTTGTTCATTTTGTACACTTGCCAAGATGACTTCAAGACACTAAATATGAGTTGAGGTAGGAGATCCCAGGAGTGCAAAGCCAGTGTAGGCAGTTTGGTGGGACCCTGTCTCTTAAAAAAAGGCTGGGGGTAGGGGAGGGTACTGCAAGGATATAGCTCAGTGGTAGAGCACACTTCATATGCACAAGGCCTTGAGTTTGATCCCCAGCACCAAAAGGAAAAACAAAAAAAAGCAAATATATATCATTTTTCCAAAGGAAATTCAAACAGTCATTGTTTTAAATGATTTAAAAATAAAAGTATTTGGGCTCACGCTGTTAGCTCCGGCTACTCAGGAGCTGAAGCAAAAGGATCACCCGAGTCCCACAGTTAAAAGCCAACCCAAGCAATACAGCAAAATCAGGCCTCACAATCCAAACGCAACTGATTGAAAAAGCTGGCATACTTACGGAATTAAGTTTGAACATTTAGGAAACAATTTATTGGATATGTGCCTTGTGTCAACTGTTACCCTGATATTTTTTAAAAATCAAAGCATAAGAACTATACAAAAGCCTGGAGTTCTATTAAAAGGCTCACTATTAGAGCCTTTTTTCTCCTTAAGGTAAAATATGTAATTCCCCTATCTCTATTCCCTAAATTGAACTTTTTCACATGCTTGCTCTAAGAGGTATTTGTACAAAGTACCTATGAACTGTAGTAACTAGTCTATCTATCCCATCTTTCAAAATAAAGCCAACTTCAGTAGAAAATGGAAGCCAAGGTTTCATATCAATGGCATGTGAACATATTAACATCACAATTTTGAAAAAAATTTTAAAGTAATTATTTGCATTATTTCCTTAAACTCACAAATGACTAACTTGTACTAATAAATTACAAGAACTACTAGAATATATTACCAAATATAACAGGAAACATACTCCCAGCTGGACCACTAAGAGTGGAAAAACTAGCAAAGGCTAAACCAAGTATTTTCATTTTTCTAATACATATTGAAAACACAAAGTTAGTATTGTAATATACAAATGATAGGCGCATAAGCCCACACACTGGAAGATTTAATCTGGTTAGACCTCCTTCAGAAGTGTCACGTTTTTTTCCCCTTTCTTCGGTACTGGGGGTTGAATCCAGGGTCTCACGCTTGCTAGACAAGTGCTATCACTGAGCTACACATCCAGCCCTTTCCTATTCTTTCGTCAAATTTACTCATAGATACTAACAAAGGAGACATGGTAAGACAAAAGTTTCCATATCTTTGGACTCCAAGTTAATGATATTTTACTGATATTCAACAGAACATACATTTTTAGAAGGATGCAAATTTATTTTCCTCCATATCCAGAGATTAAATTTTAACTAAGAATAGGCTAATAATAAACTTACAGCATTTACACAGAACACAGAAATAAATCATATGTTATGTGTACCTCACACCTTACTGATAAAACCAAACTGCTTATTTCATGGTATGTAGAACAATCATGTGATAAAAGACAGTAAGAAAAGCCACTTATCATAGAGTTTAGTCTTTATTGAAAGACTTCAACTGTGATTTACAGCTTTGGCTTTAATTGGCCTCTCACTGCCAACAGGCATAAAAATCAAGTAGGAATGGCATGGGGAAAATACTAGTAGAGATGATTTGAGCAAAGAAAATGGCAGGCAGAAACACATCATCAAACTAAATCTCAAAATAATTATTAAATAAAAAAAAATTTCCTTCCATGCCAAAGAATCTCTGCTTCTGTTTTAAATGAACATGGGAAAGAAAAGGCAATGACTCTTAGGCTTATACTGAATCAAGTTAGCACAGATTTCAATCTGTATTATAAAACTGCCTGAGTCTAGTTTAGCCCGATAGTCATTATTTTCTAAGTGGTGCATTTCATAAGTAGCTTTGTATTTTGAAACTGTTTAACATGAAGTAACTTTAATCATGAAATCTTGTTCTTATTCAGATTAAGACAAAGGACACTTCAGTCACATATTTACTATGGCAATATAATTAGCCTGGATAATTTTATTAAATTATATAATATACAACTAAGAACCACTACAGTTGTATTTTACTGTTCTCTTAATGGGCCACTTAATTTAGTGGCAGAGCAAAAAAAGGCAAACTAAAAATAGGCTCTTATGAAAAAAAAGTTCTTCACATTTCAAAAATGTTCATGAAAATTTTAACTCAGGAACATAATACAATTTGAGTGTTCTTCCTATAAAATATAAAGTAACTTTTCGAAAAACATTTTCCAAATAGCGTACACAAAAGAAATCATGGTAAGGGTATAATAAAAGAGGGCAACAACTACTGTGGTTCAAAACTAATGTGCCACAAAAAAATCTGGCTTAAAAATGAACTTCAGACTCTTAACTTTTATGAATGTTTGTCTGAATTTCTAAATGGGGAAAAGACAAAAGTAATATGAAAATGACCATGACCATTGCTATATAAAATAATCATTTTAAAGTTAATTGTAAGACTTCAAAGATTTAAAAAATGGTCATTTGAAGATCACAGCTGCACCTTAACTGTAAAGTATGTTTTCTCACTTTTGGGCTCAGGTCAACTTTCTGAATACGCTACCAAAACACGTGCACCCCCTAGCTGTCACAATTTAAATGGAGGATTTTAGCTATTTTACATTCCCATTTTTTAATAAATTTGAGGCAGATTTTATCCATGTAGGCTGAAAAATACCTTGGAAACAAACCTCAATCTTCTCCATTTTCCCAACGGATTCATTTACAAACGGCACACATACTACTCAAGGCTCTGTTCAGGATCACCATCCCATGCACGCTTCCCACAGGAAAAAAAAAATTAGAAGTCACAACTTTGTGTACTACTTAAACTGAACATCCAATTATAAACTGGTACATCAAACTGTCTAAATAAGATGTTTCAGCAATCTTGTTAAAAAAATTTCTGGGCAAAATATATTTAATTTTTAAAAACACCCTAAGATTTTTAAAAACACTTGTGCTATACAATTTATAGCAACCTTGAAACCAACTTACAAGGCTTTAATCAAGGTATTTACATACCAAATAATGCAAAGCAAAAAGAAAAATATCTAATGACATTTTAGAATGTACTCAGATTTGTATGAAATTAAAATTAAGGCTTTTTCTGTATAGGATGTGTCGTTTTAATTTATATAGCCAACCTTGGAAATGTCGGTCTTAAAACATCCTCATTAACCCACTGCATTCAATGCAATGGAGTGTGTTAAGTGTTATTTCAAATAATTACACTGTTGCTACTTCTATGTTGAAGCATGCTTTTTGAACACTGTAGTTATTCAGTATTTACAATGTATATCATTTGAACTTCATGTAAAAGCACAAGTATGACTGTCTGACTTTAATACAAACACCATACTTGGAATCTCCCCCCCAATGAAATGTAATATACTACAGCTTTAATAATCAACACTTTTTAAAGTTTTAAAAATATGTCTTAAATGTGGACCGCCATTTGCTCAAAGAACTCAGACAACGCTGTTCCTTATTTGGGTCGCAAAATTTCAGTCTGGCTTCAGCTTCTTTAGGCATAGAGAAAGTAAATTTTCCTCCAAAGCGATTCCAAAATCATGCCATTTCTTCTGAGTATCATACTTTTTCTGCTGACTTCAAATGTGGTCCACCTCAGGGGAGGGAAGGGGAGTACCAGGATTCAAGATGAATTTATGTGATTCCCAGTTTTTCACGATCCTCCCTTTTTTGCTCTTTTAAAAACACAGTGAGTTAAAATACTGAACAGCAAGATAAAAATGGAATAGTATCTAAGAATCAAAATGTATTACCCATTTCTCCTATTATATCAAAATTTGTAGTCAGAATTGTCTTTATTGACTTTATTTTAGTTTTTGTACACAAAGAAAAATCATGTTCATATCCATCATGAACAAAAACTTAAAAAGGCAGAACTAGAAGACATGTGTCCTTCACCCAAGCAAAGCTGTGCTAAAGGTTCCAAACATTTCAATTTTTAAAATAAATATTTTCATTTTCCGATGTCTACGTTCATGTCTTCAGAGTGTCACAGGAAATTGAAGCCTATCAAGAATTACAATTTTGTTTAGAGTCCCAGCTCACGGTGTTTGGTAACTTGCCATACCATATCCAGCTTGGTTAGGAGGAGGTATTACAGGGGGAGGAGCTTGTCCTTGGGGAGGCTGAGCACCAAATCCACCCATCCAAGCAGCAGAAGGTGATTGACTTGGAAGAAAAAAAAAAAATCTTCAGCAAACACAAGAAGAAAAAAAAAATCATCTATACACGTATATAACCACACACAGAATAACAGTTAGAAATTAACAACAGAATACAACAAATAGGTCAAAGAAATACATGATACATGTATAGAACATATGTCTCACTATGAATCCTAACAGTTTTTTTATTTTTATTTTTATTTATTTATTTTTTTTGACAGAACCGGGGATTGAACTCAGGCTCTTGGGCTTGCCAGGGAAGTGCTTATTCCACTGAGCCATCTCCCCGGCCCCCCTAACAGTTTTTTAAGGTAATTACAACTTAGCACAATGATTTCTCTGAAGAGTATCTGAATACTTATTTTTCTAAAAATGGGATTTGGTAAATACTGCCTGTAATACCAATACTTTGGGAGGCTATGGCAGGAGTCTTGTAAGTTCAAGTCTCACTTAGGCAACTTAAGGAAACCTTATCTAAAAATAAAATTAAAGTATTTTAAAAATAAGAAAAATGGGCTTGGCATGTAGCTCAGTGGTGGTGTGACCCTGGGTTCTAACCCCAGCATCATCACCAAACATAAAAAAATAAAAGATTCTGCATACCATTTACCTAATATAAATTGCACAGAAGACCTACCTATCAAAAGAAATATTAAAAACACAAGTTCATATTGGAAAGAGTCTCAAAAGAAGTAACTTGTGTAAATAAAGATCTATGTATGAGTTTCAAAACAAGCAACTAGTGAGAATAAAGACCTAGGATTGTGTGGGGGAAAAGAAGTAGCAGTAACCAATTCATTCTATCAACAAAAACAAAAAGCAAGATGCTTTTCATAAAGTGAATTTCTGAGATTTCTCATCTGTGTCAAACAACAATAAAATAAACAAATTTCTAGCCAGGCAGAGTGATATATACTTGTAATACCAGCACTCTGAAGGCTGAGGCAGGAGAATCACATAAATTTAAGCCCAGCATAGGCTATATAGTGAGTTCAAGGCCAGTCTCACTATATAGGGAGACATTGTCTCAAAACAAATTTCTGAACAGTTCCACACAAAAATTTTTATGTATGGAAAAAATAAAAGTGAGTTAGACATAAATTAAATTCTATAAGCTGCTTATAACTATAGGTCACACCACATGTTACCCCTAAATCCCTTCATCTAGATAGTGAGACAAATTTTTAGCATTGTAAGTCACAACTGATTAGATTTTGTTTTCAATTTTCATACTCCAAATACCTCTCTATTTCTGTTTGTAGATCTACAGATATTTCTATACTAAAAAACCAAACTTACTCTACTCCAAATCCTTGTTGGTTCCATGGCTGTCCATATACTCCGTAAGGCGGTACTTGCCACCCATTTGCCATATACTGTCCATACTGTTGCGGGTTTCCATACACTTGGCCCCACTGGCCCCACTGACTGTAGTCAACCTAGGAAAAAGCAAATCAGCGTTTTAGGAACAAGTAAGAAACACCGTATTTGAAGAAAGAGTGGGAGACAAGGAAGAGAAAAACTAAGTAAGCACCCTTATGTGAATAGGACTCTGTTATTTATCATTGTCTAAGTTTATTGGGGTGGTGATACCTGTGAAAAGAAAGTATTAAGATTCAGTTAATACCACAAAATAATGAACTTTAATATAGCATTAATACAATCAACTGAATATAGCTATATGCTTTATTTTACTGTTTACAGTTTCCAAAGCTTTATGTATATATGCGAGATGAAAACCTTAAAAAGTGGTACAAAAAATTAAATTACCTGTTGGAAGTTTTTAGTCATATCAGGAGATTCTTTACCCCAATAGCATTTAACCACGTGTCCTTCAATCGTGGTACCGTTCACTGAAACAATGGCATGGGCTGCACTTTCATGGGTAGAAAATCTATAAGAAAATAATTAGGTTTTGGCTCTTATATTTTAAGAACTTAAAATATTAAGTAATATATAGAAGCATTAACATAAATTGATACCTGGAAGGGTCTAATAACATAAGTGAAAAAAATACATCCTATAATGATACTAATATTACACACAGAATATTACCTGACAAATGAATAGCCCTTTTCTGGAAAAACTCTTATTTCCATAATTTGGCCAAATGGAGAGAATGTTTGTCTCATAAGCTGATCTATTAAAAAAATATAAGACATTTAAGGTGCATATATCATAAAAGTCACACTAACTCTGATAAAGCCCCACAAAGAAAGTCATTACAGAAAAACCAAACACTGTACCTGTTAACCCTGAAGCAATTCCTCCACAGTACACAGTACAATTTTTTGGACTTGACTGGTTTACCACATCTTCAAATCTCAATTGTTTAGTGTTATCTATATGTAGAAAAAAAGAATTAAAATATTATTACTCAAAATGTTATAAAATTACCTATGCTTCAAGTATGATTTAGTAAAAGAACACTTGCCTAGAATGCATGAAGCATCATTATCTTTTAACAAAAATGGCTCAATGGAAGGAGAAAATTTTTTTCTCCATACTGATTTGATATACATTTGATCTATCAAATTAGAGTTCACAGCTTCAAAAATATACCAGAAGAGATAGATATGATCAAAATGTTATACACATGTATGCAAATATATTTTTTTATTTTTTTTAAATTTTATTTTTTGGCGGAACTGGGGATTGAACTCAGGCCCCTGTGCTTGACAGGCAAGCACTTATTCTACTGAGCCATCTCCCTAGCCCCCGTTTTTATTTTTATATGTATTGAGTACAGGATCTACAGGGTCTCACTACATAGATTGGACTCGTAGTGATCCTGTTTATAGCCTTCCCAAGTACTGGGATTACAGGAGTGCGCCACCACGCCCAGTCTCAACTACTGTCTCAGCACACCCTGGGGGTGGGGCAGGCATGGCAGGCCCAAGAACTCAACCCCTAGCCCCTGCATCTGCCTAAGCAGGCACTTTAACCCACTGAGCTATCTGGTCAGCCCGCAAATGTTTTTAATTATTATTTCATAAAATTAATATTAATTAATAAAAATACATTAAATACTAAGAAATTAAGCTGGGCACGTAGCAGTACATGCCTATAACACCTCAGCACTGGAGCAGAACAATCGCCATGAGTTCGAGGCCAGCCTAGGTATATAGTGAGCTCAAGGCCAGCCTAAAATAGTGAGACCCTTTCTAAAAAAAAAAAAAAAATATGACTATAGTAATACATAATTGGTAAAGAATTTATAGTTTTAACATGCATCACAGAAACAGCTTACTTTCTTGTGTACTTTTTGGTGCAGGTGGTTTACGTGTGGCCCAATTAGTTCTGATCTGTCGACCACCCAACCACTGACCTCCCATATGCACAATTGCATTTTCTGCATCCTATGGAGAAAAAAAACAAAACACAAAGAGTGGCAAGTTAGATGAAATAAAAGTTGGCAGTGCTGACCCCAACAAATCTCATCAGTAAATGAATTCATTAAACATCCTCAAAAAAATTAAAACTGAAACCAATAAAACAATTTTGAATTTTGGTGAATCACAAAAGCTATTTTTATCTATTATAAAATACTAATACTTAAGTTTAAGAGAACTTAATTCTAATTTAAATATGCAAGAAAAAGTCACAATCTCATTGATTACTGAAAAAAATTATTAAGTTTCTTAAATATACACATTTGAATTAGAAGGAAAACAAATTTTGTAAGAAAAGTAGTTTTCAAGTATCTTAATTTTATGGTTGACTTTCAATGTAAAATTTACTGAAGAAAATGTAGAAATGCTAACACAATCTAAATTGCCTACCTTTAAATATACTATTTTAATATGAGTGATGAATTCCAACTGTGACATGTTAAAAACTCATTCTAAAGCTTACTTTATTGTTAATGCACGTTTACTTTGCTACCTCCTTGGGTTTTTTTTTGTTTTTTTTTTTCCCCCTTGGGTTTTTTTTAATGGTACTGGGAATCAAACTCAGAAACCTTGTGTTTACTAGGCAGGTATAGCACTGCTGAGCCACAACCCTGGCCCCTGTTTTTTCTTTTTTTGAGACAGGGTCTTACTATGTAGTTTAGGCTGGCCTTGAACTCAGAGTGATCCTTTTGCCTCAGCCTTGCAAGTGCTAGGATTAGGTGTTTTCCCACCACATCCAGCTTTGTTATCACTATCTGAAGAGAAGTCATCCCAAAATTGAGACAAATTGATGCTTAAATTAGCATTTACGTTACTATTGTATTCATTATAATCCCAGTTATAAAAGTATGGATAATTTCAAAGAATTAAAACTCAGATTTACATGGTTAAGAATGTATATAACTTACTTCCCCACCCAAATTCTCAGATTACTTCACTTGTCCTAGTCTCGGGCTTTACTTCTAATAATTTTACCTTCACTAATGCACAAATGCTACTTTTTTTTTTTTTCAGAACCGGGGATTGAACTCAGGCCCTGTGCTTGCCAGGCAATTACTTACTCTACTGAGCTATCTCCCCGGCCCCCAAAAATGCTACTTTAATAATATTTATAGTACACTTACCCTTTCTTTTTCCAGTTATTTATTTTCAAATTTAAGAATCATACTGTATTAGCAAGCAAAATTATATCAAAGTTGTGTACACAGTTATATCCAAGAATATTCAAATTTGTTACTATATATTAAAACTCACTAAGCTTAGGGTTAAAGTGAGTTGAAAGAACGTACCAGTTTGTTATAAAAAGATACAAAACCATAGCCCTTGGATTTTCCAGTTGCCATGTCTTTAACTACCCGAGCATCCCTGCGAAAAGAAGCACAGCTAAATGAGGGAAGTAAAAGTTATCCTTAAAACAAAAACTAAAAGGAACCACACACACTGTATTGTGAGCATTTTTAAAATAAAATTCCAGTTAGCCCTAATTAACTACAGCCATTCCTGAACTCTCCCTAATGCTTCTTTACCTGTTAGAAAAAAGCAGTAGGACAAAAACATGTAATAAACATGCAACCTAATCAAACAGCCTGTACTTTCTAAACTAAATGCTCAAATTTGAAGATTAATAGGAACAATAGTTTCCTTTTCTAATATTCTATTTGCTAGTGTCCTCTAAAATTTACTGATTCTATAAATTACTGTAACAATGCTAACTAATTTACCATGCAATCTCTAAATAGTTAAATGTCTTCTGCCTAGTGATACAAAATATATGAAATATTAAAAAATTGAAAAAGAGGAAAAAATAGGAATTAAAAAGGCATACATGGCCTGTTAACAGATTTCTTTATTTTTCTTGGTCAATGCTCTACCATCATTTTGGAGTTTGGGCAGCTGTAAATTTTGAAAAATTGACATTTTCAGAAATTTAAGAAAGGAGAATAAAAAACTAACAACAACGCTAAGCACACCAGTACGAAAACAACAAATTTACACAGAAATTTTAGTGAGTAAGTTAAAATGATTGGAAATATAGAACTCCACTGAATATAGAATGTTAAAATGTAAATACTAAAATATGTATATATAAATAATGTATAATAAGAAATAGAAATGAGAAAAAAAATCTACAACTGAGTTCCAGTGTGCACAGTTCCTTGCAGTTAGCCTTCAAGATCCTGTCCATTCTTATGAGCAATTCTGCAAAATAACCAGAATGCTATTACTTTTAATTGTGACTTGGACTTTAGAAAACTGCAGGTCTCAGGTATATATAAAGATCAAAAAACAGCAACCTGTATTATTTTTATACTGATTTTTAAAACAGTACTACTTACCACAATTACATTAAAAAGCAAAGCAAGTATCAAAATAGAAAATTAAGAATTAAATCTTCAAATTATATCTGTAGAACAACAAATTACATAGCGAAAAAGTTGTTGTTCTTAATTGAAACATTTCTGTATATTACTAAAATTTTTAATTTACATCTACAGGAAATATATGAAACAGACTGATTTTAATCAGATAAATTGTGATACTTCATAAAATCTGTAATCACATTTAATTTCCCATTATATTTCATCAAATAACAGTGAAATTTGAGCATAAACTGTTAAAAATCTAAACATGTTTGTCTCTCATTAGCAGAATCAAATATAACAAAAAAGCCTAATGAATTCCACATTCACAATTCAGACACAAAACATTTTAATACGGTAATAGTACTTTTTACTTATAGCTAAAATACCACAACACATTTATCATTATAAATATAAACATTTTTAAATTAACCACAATATACCCAAAGATTCACCTTCTTTCCCCAATTTATTAATTCCTCCAATAAATACACAGTATGAATCACATTCACTTTTTATTAACCTATTTTCTTTAACCACCAATTTTTAAAAACATTTGACAGAAAGTTGGACATTGTAGTTTAAGTTTTACCACCTAAACATCTGCTCAAAGATAACAAACAGAATCACTTAAATTTTTGAACATATTGTACACAGGTTATTTATGAAAACAAGACCCTAAAACATTCAAATGACATTAACATTTGCAACAACATCTACGCAAAAACAAAACAAATCAAGAAACCAAAAAAAAAAAAAAGAAAGAAAAAAAAGAAAGAAAAATACACTAACTAGAGAAAGAAAATCTTAATTCTAATACAAGTTAATCATAAGTAATTTTGCTTATCACTATCGACTGTAGTACTGATTATGATACTTACGATATTTTACCAAAGGGAGCAAATGCTGATTTGATATCTTCTGTTGTAATTTCTGGACTCAAATCCCCAACAAACACATGGAAGTGATCTGAAATCAAAGCATTTGGTAATCAAATACTCAAGAAGCCAGCTACTAAACCTTTTTAGGCAACGGGAAAGAGGAAAAAAACCCTAGTTTAGCTGGTAATGCTGCCAGGAAATTTTCAGAACTCTTCCACAGTAAAATGCAGCAGGAGTACTTACTGGAAGTATCTTTTTTCTGGCTACTTGGTGTTGTTGCCCAGTTTACTTTGACCTCCTAAAAATAAAGATTATATTTAATACAATTATTAGGCATGTCATTGTGACATATCATTTACTAAGCAGGGTTATTTTTGCAAAACTACTAGGCTGAATAAAGCAAAACCATCACTCAGCAGTAATATCTGCTTAAAAATATGCTAAGAAAGAATACAAACTAATTCAACATGCAAACACATGCACTAAGGTACCACCATTCGATTATCTTACCTTTCCCAAAATTTTTCTCCCATTCATAGCAGCTAATGCAGCAGCTGCATCTCTGTGTTCATAAAATTCCACAAAGCAATATGGGTCATTGCTTGTATGCTGCAAAACAGAAAATCCAACAGAAGAGTTGACCCTTCTGCTATCGGGTTGCTGAGAAGAAAATCCAGGAAAAAACATTACTGATAGCTAGGAATGTACAAGGTCAGACTGCAAAACCTTATGAAAGCCTAATCCTTTAAAAAAGAAAAAAGGAAAGAAAAGGAAAGAAAAGAAAAAGGATGTATAGCTAGTGTGACTTTGTACATCAGTACACTGTTGTACAGTACAGAATCATGACCATGAGTATCAGAATACAGAATTCTGTATGTTTAAATAAAAAAGAGAAGCTTCTATTAAGTCATTCAAAACCTCCAACTCAGATTTGATGAGGATTACTCTTTAATACTGCTCTTCTCTTACATTATTCTTTTTATTGTGTGTGGCACTGAGGATTGAACTCAGGACCTTGTGCTTGCCAAGCAAGTGTTTATGCCACTGAGCTATATATCCATGGCCCTTCCAAAATTAGCCTTAAAATGATACATTATACTTAATACATCATAATCCTTCATAAACTGTAACTCAGGACTAAAAAAAAAAAAAAAATACAGAATTGAACCAACCTTATAAACTTTACTCTTGATCAAAATTTGTGTTGGTATTACAAAATGACAGTACTTTGTAGTGCTATAAAGGCTGGGTTATATGTATTTCTTTTCTGGATAAGTAAACATTGAAAAAAAATAGAAAATTCAAGACATATATCTAGGTAATAAAATTGTCTCCCTATCTTCCAAAATAGTCTAATGTACTGGAGATTCTATAAACTTTGATTTGGTCTTTGAAAGGTCAAAAATACACAGGCTAACTAGAAAATAACTGCTAAAATAAATATAAACAAAGTATTCCCAGGCAGTGTTGGGTTACATTTCAATGGTAGCACACTTGATTAGTATGTGGCTAGGGATTCAATCCCTAGCACTGCACCAAAAAACAGGACAAAACTACAATTTTATATCACAAAAACACCAATGTAAAAAACTTTATTAAATATATGATTGGTAACAGCAAGCAAATAAGTATGAGAATTTTTATAAACTGTTTATAACCTATACTAGATAGCAATACAACTCTACTGGAATATTTTTTATGTAAAGGTTAAAGCAATTCTTCACTGCTCAACATAAAGTGCCCCCAAAAGATAAATATTGAGAATGTGGAAGCTGGACAAGGTGGCGTATGTCTATAATCTCAGCAATCTGAGAGACTGAGGCAGAAGATCACAAAGTTAAACCAAATCTGGACATCTCAGTAACTCAGGAAGATCATCTTGAAATACACAATTAAAAAGAGCTGGAGATGTAGCTTGGTGTGATGGGCCCTGGTTCAATTCTCAGTACCACAATTAACCAATAAGCAGAATTCTAGATAGAGTTTACAAGTAGAATAAAAATCTTTGCAATAACCATTATTTTTCATTCAAAAAATTTTAGAAGAAAAATCCAAAGATGTCCAAATAATAGTAATGAAACAACCAGAAACATTTCCTTCAGTCAAAAAGTGGAATGATTAACACTAACAAGAAAACTATGAATTGCCATACAAAATCCTATTGTACTACACTACACTGGGTAAACAATGTTCAAAAAGAGGCAGAGAAATGAAATGGAGGAAAACCCTCCAAATTAAAAAAATACATAACAGTTCTTCTTGTGAAAGGGCCAACATTTATCATTAATATTTAGTGAGGAAGGGATTTAAAGGAGGCAAAAGGCTGAAATTTTGTTAGTTGATTTTTCTTTTTTTTCTTTTTTTGGCGGAACCGGGGATTGAACTCAGACCCTTGTACTTGCTAGGGAAGCACTTATTCCACTGAGCCATCTCCCCAGCCCTGATTTTTCTTTTATGTTTTCTTTTAGTCTCTAAGAGAAACACTGACAATTACAGAATATAGAGGGGTCCAATAGGAGAGCTATGAAAACCACAAAGGCTTCAGAACACATTTGTGCACCCTGATTTCAAAATTATGTACCCAACTAGCAGCAGGCCAGATCCCCAGTGTTACATCAATAGGCATGCATGTGTGTTGTGGAAGTGTCTCCCCTTACCCTCAGGGTATTTCAAGACTTCAGTGGAGGCTCAAAACTTCAGACTACCAAATTTTGTGCATACTATATTTTTCCTACAAATATACAAATTTAATACCTTTTCCCTTTGTTTTTAAAGACAGGGTCACCTATGTAGTCCAGGTGTCTTGAGCTTATTGTGGAGCCCAGACTGGCCTCAACCTCACAGCAATCCTTTCACCTCAGCCTCCTGAGGGTGTGACAAGCTCTGACCCTTTCACTTTAAAGGAAGCATTTTACAGCTTTCCTATTAATATTATACTTTGAGGCTATTAAAATAAGGGTTACTTGAATATAATAAGCACTGGGATATCCTGACAGTCAATCTGATATCACAGAGGGCAACTAAGTGACTATAGGGGAGGCAGCATATACAACTCTAATACACTAGACAAAGGAAAGATTCATGTTCCAGTGGGGAGAGTGTGAAGTTTCATCACCCTACTCAAGAAACTGGGTGTAATTTAAAACTTTTCAATTGCTTACTTCTGGAATTTTACCAACTATATATAACCATAGATAACAGAAGACCATATATGTATTTTAAGCCTTTACATCAGATATAGATAGGTAGGTAGATGGATATAGATTTTTTTTTTTTTTTGGCGGAACTGGGGATTGAACTCAGACCCCTACTGAGCAATCTCTCCGGCCCCTATATTTACATATTTGTATTACACTACATTTAATCTAAGACATCACAGTTTTTAAATATAACCTCAAGATTTTACAGTTGTCATAATAAAACAAAAGACAAAGACCTTGACATAGATCACTTAGCCCTTTCTTTTATTTCTTCCAGTTAAAAATGCTTGCATTTTTAAAAAAAATGTATTTAGTACAGGATCTATGGGGTTTACAGGGTCTTATACATACATCTGACTCATAGTGATCCTCCTGTTTACAGCCTCCCAAGCGCTGGGATTACAGGTGCATGCCACCATGCCCAGTCTCAATCGCAGCCTCAGCGCACCCCACACCAGGCCCGGGGATCAAACCCCCAGCACGTGTCTACCTAAGCAGGCACTTCAATCTGCTGAGCTATTTGGCCAGCCCTCAAAATACTTGTATCTTTTAATAGCCATCATTCTCATAGATTTGCAGTTGGGTTCAATACACTCAAGCCTCTGCATAACCTTCTTTGTAGCTTTGGCCTTTTCACAGAAAACTCCCAGTTTGTGCACCACAGCCCTGCCACCTCCTATCGCAACACTGCTTTCCCTGGGCACACAAGAGTATTTCTGCTTTACTTGTGCTTGCCACACTTCTTATGGAAAGTCTGCTGGGTTTTAGGCTTGTTCATCATGTTTGTAAGAGCATTATGAACATGGAAAGCGAAACCAGTGATTTTTAAGTGAAATCCCAAGTATAAGAGATGTTAAAATTTTTTAATGTTTGCCTCAGAATCAAGCATATATATTTATAGAAACTACCAGAGTGAAGAGACAACCCACTGTGTGGGAAAAATTGTCAGATGCACCACAGACAAGTGAATACTATCAAGAACATACAAAAAAACAAAAAAAAAAAAAGACTGTAAATTTAAAGGCTTGATCCAAAAATGGGCATCTGCAATGAAGAGACCCTTCACAGAAGATGAAGTATAAACAGCAAATAAATGTATGAAAAAATGTTCAACATCACCAGTCATTTTAGAGGTGCAAATTAAGACAACAATGAGATTCCATCTCACTCCAGAAAGAATGGCTATCATCAAGAAGAAATCAACCAATAACAAATGATGGCAGGGCTGTGGGGGAAAAGGAACGCTTCTCTACTGTTAGTGGGAGTGCAGACTTGTGCAAGCACTAGAGAAATCAGTGGAGATTCCTCGAAAAACTAGGACTTTAGGTCCCATTCAAACCACCTATTTCCATTCTTGTATCTTCCCATTTTTTTAAAGCATCATTTCAGAAGTATATTTACAACCATGGGTATTGCAGCACAGTTTGTAATAGACAAATCTTGCAAACAGCCCAAATGTCCATCAGCTGGTGAATGGCTAATGATATGACTTTTTTTTTTTTTTTTTTTGTGGAGCAGGGATTGAACTCAGGCCCTTGCACTACTGAGCTATCTCCCCCGCCCCAATGTGATTTTTTATACAATGGAGTACTATTCTGCCATAAAGGATACTCTCAAGACATTTCTAGCTAAATGGATGCACCCTAAGATCATACTGTTACGTGAAATAAATCAGACACATAAGTGTAAACAGTGCATTGTTTCTCTGCTGTGAAAAATCAAAAGTATAACTACGGACCAAAATGTATAATAGGTATTGTGAAATAGGAAGAAAATGTTCAAATGGGAAGGGCAACCAGAGAGGAGGAGGGAGTAAGGAAAGAAGGGAAAGAAAAAAACGAGAAAAGGGAAAAACACAAAACTTTTTTAAATGAGGAGGGGAAGAGTTGTTGGAGGGAAAAAAAAAGAATCAAGTTATATCATGTACAGGTACAAAGTCTCTATGATGAATGTGATTGCTATGTACATCTAAAATACACCAATGAAAACTGATTAAAAAATATATACTTACTATATTGAAAAAGTATATAGAGAAAGGAAGTACATCTGAAGTTTAAAAATTATAAAACTAGGAAGAAAAAGGATTTTCCACATACCAAAATAAAACTTACGAAAGGAAAACAAATGCCTAGATGTACAAGGTTCATGCCCTTTAAAAACTTCCCATTTATACTATCACCAGGTGACTAAAGATTAGAGCCTTACCTTAATTAGTGCTGTCATCAATTTTTGTTGGATGACATTAATGTCAAGTCAAAGAAGTACAAGATTTGTAACTATTCATACTCAAATATGAGTTCTAAATATGCATGAGTTTTAAAAATGCATTTTGGAGTCTCTCTGCCCTTCAAATGGCTGTACATACACATAGTTTTTGAAAAAATATTGTTAAAATATATAGTTGTCAAATGTGTCTCAATTTTTTCAAATGATTTTTCTTCCTTCTTACATATTGTCTCAACTCCTTTAGTTTTCAAACCAGCCACACTACTGGACTGCATAGTTTACCAATGACCTTTCTGCTATCTCTTCTATCTCTCTCGGTCCTATCTTGACTTCTAAGTAGAATTCACAACAGTTGCTTACGACATTTCTTTAAATATTCTCTTTGCTGGATCCTACCATCCTCTTGGTTTTTCTGTTTCTCTACTAGACGTCTTCCAGGGGTTGCTTCTTAACTCAAACTCAATATAATTTCAAATGCTCAGCTGTTCTAGGACCCAAGCCTAGACCTCATTCTCTCTCGTGTTCCCCAACATCACTTCTCTAACAATCTTATTTAGTCCCATGACTCCAAGTATCACTGCAAGCTTTAGTACAGTCTCTTCAGAGTTCCAAACTAGTTTTATTCAACTGCTACAGTATATATAATGTCCACTTAGGATGGACATGGTAGGGCATACATACCTGTAATACCAGGAGAATCAAAGTGAGTTCAAAGCCAGCCTAGCCTATATAGCAAGCTCAAGGCTAGTCTCAATTATACCATAAGACCCTGTCTCAAAAAACAAATAAAAAAGGTCTTTTTCTTCTTCTTGAGATAGTTTCACTATGCTATTTAGCTGGCCTTGAACTTACTATGTAGCCTAGGCTGGCCTCAAACTCAGGTGATCCATCTGCCTCAATCTCCTAAGTGCTGGGATTACAAGCATGTGCCACCATGCTCCACAAAAAGTCCATTTAGATATCTAATGTTTATCTGAAATCTAACATCGTCAAAACACTTGATTTCTACCCGTCCCCACACCATCCGATACCTTCCTTAGCTATCCTCTTTTTAGTAAATAGCATTACCACCCACACGTAGCAAGAATATTAGGGTCTTTTCTGATTTCTTCCTTTGGCTTACATCCCACTGCCAATCAAGTCCTATTTATTCTTTTCAAAATATACTTCAAATTTACTTATACCTAGTTCTTCGGCTACCACTCTAAAGCATAAGAATCCATCATATGTTACCTAGACAAGTGAAATAAAATCAGTTGGTTTCTCCCCTTCTCTTGCCTACCATCTATCACCCAGCAGTCATTCTCTATATACAGACCAATGTTAAAAATAGAAACTGGAGCACTGGTTAGACCTCTCCAGCGGCCTGTTACTGCAAACTGAACTGTCATGGCCTACACTGTCCTATGTGATTCTGGATCTTCTTACTTATCACTCATTTACTGCACTAACCCCCGCCATTTGCCATGCTCTAGCTATCCCAGTCTTTGGTTTCACAAAGCCAATAAATAAACTCATTACCAACTCAAAGCTTTGTATTTGCTCTTCCTCTGCCTTTAGCTCCACATACATGGCACCATCTTGTTATTCCACTGTTCCTCCTTGCCTAGCTTACATAGTACCAACCCCCAATTACTATCACAGAACTGTTTTCTCCTGTCATGGCTCTTATTCCTATTTGCTTGGGGACCTCATTTGTCTGGCTCTCCTTTATATCCTCAATGCCTTAGGACAAAGCACATTTCTAATTAGTAAGAGATGAATGGATAAATAATCAAAGTCAAGAAAGAAAGAACAAAAAAAATAGCAGAACAGAGTAAGGACTACTAATAGGAAAAAAGATCAAATGGTCAATACAGTATACAGGTTTTTAATAGCACTTCACCTCCAAATAAGACACCAACATAGCTTCTGGCTCCTTCCAAACACTTGTCTCATTTGGGCATCTCATGACCAATCCCATTTTAAGTGCCAAGCATCCTACTATTGAACAGAGGTTCCTAACAGAAAGCAGATTTCTATTGATTTTTCCCTATCACAAGCATTCCTGATCTGTCTATCAACCTGCACCAACATTCTTCACAGTATATTCTTTTCTTCCCCACTTCCTTTTCTCTTATCTATTTTTTTCAGGCAGGGTCCCACTACATATTTCAGCCTGGCCTTGAACTCATTATGTAGCCCAGGCTGGCCTTAAACCCACAGCAGTTCTAGTGCCTCAGCCTACAGAGTGCTGGGATTACAGGACTGTGCTACCATACCTGGCCCCTAAATTCTTTTCTAGCCACTTTCTATTATTATTCTTTCAGGTTTTAGTCCATCCATCAACTCCTCTAAGAAGTATCTTTTAAAAGCTAAGATTCCACAGGATGCTCTCCCTGTATACTCCCATGGTACCTAAAAGGTTTCCATAGCATTTATCGCTCTATACTCTAAGTGCCCACTAACTCCTCTGCCTCCTTCTATAAAATCTTATAGGGCCAACAATGGTTTTAAAAAGAAGTTTGTAGGGCCGGGGAGATAGCTCAGTAGAACAAGCGCTTGCCTGGCAAGCGCAAGAGCCTGAGTTCAACTCCCGGGTAAAAAAAAAAAAAAGAAGTTTGTAAATAAAAAGTTACTACTAAAGTCTTAACTGAGAAAGTATATAAATTTTCTTTGAAAAAAGGACAACAATATTACTTATTTTGGTGGCAGGGATAGAACCCCATGCCAAGCATGTACTCTACCAGTGAGCTACATCCCCAGCACCAACAAAATTATCCTAACAATTTCATTGCCTACTTACATAAAACTGCTCAATCATTCACTAAAGATGCACAAGACACACGCTGCTCTACTAGGCACATAGTACGCTTATATTCTTTTACACACAGCAACCCCTAAATTTTAAATGTATACTATCTGAATTGCTAACATTATTAGAATTGTACAAAATGCCATCAAGAAGTTCATAAATAGGTACTACTAAAGTCTTACCTGAAAAAGTATATGTTATTACTTATATGTTGTCCTTTTTCACCATTTGAGATAAATTTATAAACAAATTATTTATTTACTTTAACATATATTTATACAGGGTCTACAAGGTCTCACTATGCAGATCAGACTCATAGTAATCCTCCTATTTTCAGCCTCCCAAGCTTTGCGATTACAGGCATATGCTACCATGCCCAGTCTCAATCACTATCTCAGTGCGCCTCCAGGGTGGGGCCAGCACAATGGGGACCGAACCCCCGTCTCTATGCCTGCCTAAGTTAGATTCCTCAGTCAACTGAGCTACCTGGCTGGCCTGCAATTATTAAGATAATGACATCATGAAAAATGCCTGATAATAACAGCATAAAAAGTTTGCCCTTGTGAATATAACTTCATTATAAATCTGTTTTATTAGCCAATTCAAAATAAAAAATTAACAACTTTTAAAATGTTGCAATTAGCCCAATTATCTTAAAATGTTAAGATATCATGCTAACTGACAGTGTGTGTAACTGGGAAGTCTTACCTCTGTTATCATTTTACAGCTTTTACAGGGTCCAATCTGACTGAATAACTGAAGTATAAGGACTTCTGTCACATCTCTGGAGAGGTTACCTACATATCTGAACAAGAAAAAAATACATTATTAGCAATTTTCCTTTAGTTCTGGCTTAATGCATTTAATTTATCACCTTTTAATTTCATTTTAACTTCCTGTACATTTAAATAAAACTACTCCAAGAAGTACTGACTCTATGAAAGATTAACCCTTATTTAACAAAACAGTAACTGTTCTTAAGCCTCTAAAACAACATTTCAAAGTACAGTATAAAGATGGTATTCAAAAAGCATATTATTCTGTATCTTGTGTATCATTTTCTCATTTTAGCCATAAAAAATTTAAGTTTCAAGAAATATAATTTCTATTCCAAAAATTAACTTGTGACAAAAAATGACAAATATTGAATGACTAAAATAGGTGATCATAAAAAGATATTAGACATAAAGTAGGTTCATCTTAGACTGTGAACCAAAGCAATTGCAATCAAAGAAAAGAGTTAAAAGTTATAGTAAAATAGAAAGTGAGGTTTTTTTTTTTTTTTGTAAATTATGACTTAGCAATGGGGTCTTTATTGCTCTTAGGACAACAATACGATGATAAAATTTCCTAGTCACAAGTGCATCAGGTACAACAAAATACATCTTTATGTATACAACAAAGCATACAGAATGTTTTAGAAATTCAGAAAGTTTTTAAATATTCCAGATACACTTTTGACTAGAGATTTCAGATTTTGGGTTTTCTCCCTAGTCATCAATTCAATAACATATATATATAACATATGTATATATATGTATATATATATATATATATAACATATGTATATATATGTATATATATATATATATATAACATATGTATATATATGTATATATATATAACATATATATAATATACATATCACACATATGTTACATATAAGTTTAAAAAAAAAGAAAATAGAAATCACTACTTCACCGCCTTGCTTTATGTTTTGTACCAGAGATCTGACTTATCTCAATAAACTATCAAAACTGTTAACTCTTTCTGGTACTTAACAAATAATTCCTCAATCTGTACCTGTCATAAACAACTCATAAAACAAACAGTACAGTACTTTTAAATTTTAAGTTTCTTTTGGAAAATAAAAAAGTAAGTTTTCTTTTTCTAGTCATAAAATCTAGAAACTAAGTACTATACTAATATCAACCTTTGCAACATAGTTACATATTAAATAGTAACTTTTAAGATGGAATAGGCTAAAGGAAAAAACCAAAAAAAAAAAAAAAAAAAAAAAAGACCAAGAAAGCTAAAGTCAACCAAAGCAAAACAAAAAAACTGCACAAAGATCCAATTAAGTTAGAGTAGCAATTTTCCAGTTTCGTTAAAAATTTCCTTACAGTGGGTACTTATAACCTTGTTGCTCATATTCTGTAAGTGAAATACAAGTTCAATGTAAGAGACAAAATCAATTGACAAAGTGGTTTTAGGTCCAGTTTGCCGTACTTTCTTTATAATTAAGCTGGAGCTTACCCATCTGTAAGCCAGCACAGTGATTTATTTTTCCAGCAGTAGTGAGAGTTTTAGGATTATGAGCTAGTCATAGACAACTCATTGCCTAGCCCTTTTAATTCATAGGGAATTGTGAGCTTGTAACCATCAGTAATCTATTTTTTTATTCAAGGAACACATATCTCTAGGGAAAACAAAGAATCTCAAAAGCTCATTTCTAAGAGAAAAAAATGAACAAGACTGATTTTCACACGTTGAAGTTAGCTAGTAACAACACTGAAATGCTGTGAATTTTTTGCTGTCTTGTCTCCCCCACCCACCACCCCTTGCTCCTTTGGGATGGACTCTTGCTAAACAGCCCAGGCTGACTTCAAACTTATCCTCTTACTTCAGCCTCTTAAGTTCTGGGAGTACATGTGTATACCACCATGCTTAGCAGATTTAGCTTTGAATTTGCATTTAAATTTAAAATCATCTGTTTAAATCATCTAGGGCTGGGGATAAAACACCTGCCTGGCAAGCATGAGGTCCTGAGTTTGATTCCTAGTACCAAGGGGGGGGGGGGACAAACAAAAAACTTCATCTGTTCAGGAAAAACTGTGTGGGCATTAATTACCTTCCATAATTAAGAGTCACAATAAATTCGCTGCTGTTTAATAGGCTTTTTATTCTAACTTAACCTATTTCCAACCCGTTATAGAAGTTCTAGACACACACACACACACACACACACCCCTAACCTGCATTTCTGATACTGACACCTAAGATCAAAATGTCAGTACTTAAGTCTAGAAAGTTTTATAGAAAATTCCAGCTTAAGGTTTCCTACTATTTAAGTCTCTCCACTAAGAGGTAAGTGGTAAAGCACCAAACTAGGTTTTCAAAACTTAAGATTTACTATGATAAAAAGGATATCATTCACTATATCATTTCACTTAAATTTAAGACCTATTCTTTTACTAAAAGTTCTATAGACTTACTTTGTAGTTCTTAAAATATTGTAACTGTTTAAGTACCTTGACACTGTCAAAAAATAATCTATTCCAAATTAAATACTTTCAAAAACATTTAAAACAAAGTTCAATACTTGACCCAATAAGCACCATTTTGGTGGGAGGGGTAGCTAAAAATTAAATCCACACTGAACTATATTCCTAGACTTTTTTGGGGGGTGGGTGACAGATCTCAATACAATTGTTAAACTACCAAGGAGAGGCTGCAACTTGCAATCCTTCTGTCTCAAGCTTTCACAGTGGGATTAAAAAGATGGACAATGTGCCCAGCTATCTTCTTAGTACCTTACTTAAATGGTATCTTTTTTTTCTTTCCAAGTGATAAGTCTCTAAATTGTGCTGTGGTTATGAAGCAATCAACATGTTCTAAAGTTTCAAGTTTCTAAATATGTAATTTCATCTGAAGAACATTTCCAAAATAACAAAAAATGTGTCAGATGGTTTGAGTTTTTATAGTCAGAGGTCAATTCAAAATAAAATACTTAAATTCCAAAATAATTTTTAACTCAAGGAAAAAATAAAGGTATATTTTACACACCTCTTTTAATAACAGGAAATATAAGAACTGAAGCATTAAAAACTGAAATGACACCTTTATTCTTAATATCAAAGTTAAAATCCAACTTGAGACTACAAACTTGGCAGTTTCGTATCGCAGTAGGCAGAGAAGTTTACATTCCAACCTGTTGCCTATGTCTAACCAAAGGGAATTTTGAGTTAAGAACATCATGCCTTGCAGAAGACAAATAGTGACAGTTTTCAACACTGAACATGTTCTTAATCTGAAAGAGTAGGGGGCCTGACCCTAGCTCAGTCCTTTAAGTGGCTGCTTCCACAAAGCTGTCAGCCTCAGGTTGCTGGAGTTCGAACCTCACAACTCTCCCGCTGGCCAAAAGTGCCCTGAAGGCATTCGAGGAACAAAAAAAAAAGAAAGAGTAGCCCTACCAAGGCTGAAACTACAGTACTTAATACTGTGACTAAATTTGCATAACAATAACATTTTTCTTTATGTTTGACAAGTTGCCATACAAGATTTTTCGAACAATATACTTCAACAAATCTGTGATGAACTTTTGAATTTGTCAGTATTTCATTTTTTTGGAAGAAGGTAGGATGGAGTAAAGATTCAACTTGTACAACTGAATTAACCAACTATAAGGAATACACACACACGCACACACACACACACACACACACATTTTAAAGAAACAATATAATCAAACAGAAGGAGGGACTTGATTATAGCCATAATATAACCAGAACCATGAATACAGCTAGTCAATTTTACAGTGACGTTTTAGTATTCTACTTTTTTCTTCACTGTTCAGATTACACTTTAAATCACTGCATTATTTCTTCCTTTTGACAGATTATCAGAAAAAAAAAAGCCTTAAAACGATAGCACTGTATAATGTGGTTATTATCCCAGATCCACAATTTCTATTGATTTTGGTGGACTGAAGAGATGAGTAAAATAAACTACAACAGAACACTAATACGAGGTAGTACCATAGTATATTCAGATAAACCATAGATCAAATCACTGCACTACAAAGATACAGGTCTGAAACTTGTATCCTACGAGATGGTCCACTGCAAACACCAATATTACATGGCATGATTTTGTTTGTTTGTTTTTAAGATCACAAGTTACCCAATATACCATCCCCCAAATAAATGTAAAATGAAAACGAAGATCATCAGAAAACAGACCTTTAGAGCAACTATATGACAAATAAAAATTTAGGCCCAACATCAAAACAATTCTATATCACTTTAAATACCATCAAATAAATTAGTAATACTGAAGGTAATGAATATTTAAAGACCTACCTAGGCTATAAACACCATATTGTTTTCTGAAGATAGAACCATATGTCTTAGCTTGTGTGTGTCTGCAGGAAAAAAACCTCACTAGTAACACACAGGCATTTTAAGCAAACAGGTTAAAGTAAGCTTTTGTCAAGAGTACAATCTTTTAAAACATACTAGCCATTTGAAAACCTAATCAATAGATCATAGTACAAAATACAGGATCTCCATAAACAAACAAACAAAACTACTATATAACAAACTCTATAACCATGGTCAAAGTTTTCCTTACGTTACTTGTATCTGATCTCTTTGAGAAATATAAAAATGTATGCTTTTTTCTTTTCTTTCTTTTTTTTTTTTTTTGAGACAATAGCCTCTGTAATTCTTCTCACTGGCCTTGAACTCACTAGGTAGCCCAGGCTGGCCTTGAACTTTCAATGGTTTCCTGCCTCAGCCTCCCAAGCACTGGGATTAAAGCATACTGTATACTTTTTAAAAAACGACTGTGCATTTTTTAAAAAATTAATTGCTTTTATCTCACTTTTTTTTCCTGAGGCAGAGTCTCACTATGTAGTTCAGATTAACCTTGGACTCACTATGTAGCCTAGGCTGACCTTGAACTCCAAGCAATTCATCTGCCTCAGCCTCCCAAGTGTTGGGATCACTGGCATGCACCACCATGCCCAGCCCTTTATTCACAATTTTATCTTTGAAGATCTTTTAAAATATATATAAAAACCAATAAACTGCACCAGGTATGACAATACTGTCTACCAATAAATTAATCTGAAGTTTTAAAAAAAGGACTTAATACTAATTTAATGAAAGTATAATCATTGTAAAATACATATTGAGTACCTCGTAGGTTCCAGGCAGTGAACTAAGTGCTGGAGGGGTAAGACCTAGGAAGGTGTAGCAGTCCTTGTCTAAAAAAACAAAAACAAAAAACCCTTCCTATGAAGAAGAGCGAAAGAAGGAAAAAAGAAGACAAAATAGTAAACATGTACTGACATACAGGAACGACAGAGTTTAAGATGTTTATTTGCTCATAGGTACACATGTCACATTATTAACAAACAACTTAAATATGGTGTGGGGGTAAAGCGGAATGAAGAAGGCAGAATTAGGATATAAGTACAGAATTAGGTCATTAGTCTCCTGGAGAAAATATACAATGACAAAGTAGATGCAAAGATAGTTCTAGGAACAAAGGATAATGATAAAGCATATTATGTAGTAGGTCAAAATCAGAAATTCCTATTCTAGGAAAAAGGAGTCAATGAGACATGTGCCATGAGGTAACTATGATTCAATAGCTATTAGGATGCAATGATGGCATTTCAAACACAGTACTTTAGATAAAATGTTACTGTTATGTTCCTTAAATACAAGCTATTTAGGTTCTATATCTAGCTTTCCCAGATGTGTTCATCAAAGTATATACATTGCTAACAAATACCAAGTCTTAGCTTACACAAACGCTGAAGAGCAAATTTCAAATTTGTTCCAATTCTTTTTTTTTTTTCTAAGAGAAGGCAGAAAGGGAAAAAAGTTCAAAACATATATATATATATATATATATATATATATATGAAGTTTATTAAGTATGCTTTTCATTCAGGGAAATGAAGTTCTTGGGTTGGCTTCAAATTCCTACAACAAGGTGGCAAACACTTTAGTGAGACATCAAAAGAAATAATAAAAAGTACAAGGCTTAAAAAAATCTGTGTTAAGATTAAGCACACATATCAACCTTTTTTTACTGAGCATACTGATGCAGAGGAGTGAAGCTGTGAAGCCAGTCAAACCATCTAGGTGCCCACTGACGTTTATCTATTCCCCTAAAAAGTACTTTCTCCATCAGTTAACCCAGCCAAGTGAACTCTGATCATATCAGTAACAGGCAGAGGCAGAAGAAACAAAACTCTGATCTAACTTCTTGTACTTAAGACAGGAGCACTGCACCTACAGAGACTGGGAAAATTGAAGCGCTCTACTTAAAACACTGAATTAGAAATTACTCTGATTTAAAAATACAAAATAAGAAAAAAGTGCCACATAATCCCAAAAGGAATGGAACTGCTGAGTCATCACTCTTCATTGGGAAGGGAAGTAACTCGAATTAAGTGGTTCCAAAATGAATTCATTCATTAGACGGGGCTCCAGGTAAAAATGCAACAACAAGACCAGAGTAAAAGCGACCCCTAAAACACACATCAAATAGCGAATGGAAGCATTTAATCCAATTCGGATGGACTGGACGCACAGATTAAGAAGCAGCAACACCGGGAGAGCAAGAGGAGTTTAACAACTGGCTGTCAATTTGGCATAGGGAGCGCTCAACGTAAACTTCGTTATCCGAGAAGGGAGCGGAGCTCGGGCGGCGAGAAGCATCCCTCTTGCACTTCAAAAGTAGCGGGCGCTGGGCGGGTGTCGCTGACAGCGTGGGCGGGGGCACGTGGGGCAGGAGGAGGCAAGGGGCTCTAGTGGCCGCACAGCGTCCAGCTTCCTCGGAGAGCTTAACTCAGAAGAAGAGTTGGGAGCGGCTGGAGCTGCGGGGACGGAGGGCGCGAGGCTCCGGCCCAGGCCTGCACGGGGTGCCGCGACGTCCCACCCCTCCAGGCCCTGACCCCGCGAGGACTGGCCACTCCCGGCCCAGCCCAGGGCCCCCCAAAGCGGAGGGGAGCAGGCGCTCTCCTGGGCCTGACAGCCTCGGCCGTGCAGAAACCAGGCCTCGGAAGGGTGCACGAAGAAGGGCGCGAGAGGAAAAGGTCGAGACGAGCCCCAGACCCCAGGAAGTGACAGTGTTTGGGGGAAGGGACGGCTCCCTGCCCAAGAAAAGGGGGACAGAGGAGGAGAGCACTTCGTGTCCGCGCCACCCTGGCCAGAGGTCCACCGGGAGTCCCGGCTCGGCCCTCTGTCTCAAGCTCCCTCCCTATGCGTTTCGCGGTGCTCGGGCCTCTGGCGCCTGGCACCCCCGGTCTCGGGTACTCACAGAGTCCGGGGCTGTCCGTCGTCTTCCATCATGGTGGGTGCGACGGAGCGATCCCGGGACAAGGGGGAGGGCAGGGCTGGGGAGGGGAGGGGGTGGGGGGGAGGGGGCGGGGGGCTCTGGGCACCGTCTGGGGACAGAGGAAAAGGCACCGAACCCCGCTCTTGGGCTCTCTCCCCCCAGCCTGCTCCGGACACTGCGCTCCAACCAGGAGGAGCAGGAGGAGGAGGAGGATGAATAAAATGGCCGCCGCCACCAGCCAGGCAGGAAACAGAGCAGGGCGCAGGCGCGGCCCGCCAGGTCACCGCTCAGGCCAGCCGCTACAGCCTGCCTGGGGAGATCTGAGGGGACAGCAAGCCAAGCTGCAGAGGAAACCTTGCGCCCGGTCACGACCGACCACGTCGTCACAGTGGGCCTACTGGCTGGCCACTACGTAGACGGCGCTAGAAGAGGTCCAGCAAAAAGAGACAAGCCGTGGAGTCTCTGGGAATTCTGGTCCTGAGGAGGAGCGACGGAAGCACTTCTCCAGCGGACTTCTGGGAACTGTAGTCTGAAGGCGACTCTATGCCGCAACCCAGAGGAGAGACTTCTGGGTAGTGTAGTCATACGTGAGGACGTGCCGCGATCAGGAAGTCTGCGTGCCTGAAAGAATCGCTGCGATGTTAACCAGTGGGCCGACGGAGTGGGACAGATGTTGTCTGAGGAATAAACTACAAGTCCCAGAGTGCCTCGCGCCGGGGGCCGTCCCAGGACGGCTCCAGGCGTGCTAAGGTGCATCCTAGCGTGAGCTTCTGCTCCGCCTCCCTCTGGCCAGAGAGCGGTTTCTTCAATTTCTCAGACGGCTCTGTGTTTCCGCGTGGTGTTCGAGCCAGCAGGTTTAGCAGGCTCTCCTGTGTTCAGGAGACCAGCAGGCCTGCGGTCATCAACTGCCACCTCGCGCCGCCGACTAGAAAGAGGCTGGCTTGATTGAGTTTTGGGGGCGCCGGAGCGAACCTTGGGTGCCTCCAAAGCCACTTGCGTCTTTGGGGTGCGTTTTCTCCCAAATAGGTGCTTCTGTATAATCCGCTTGTAGGTTGCTTTGTAAGTATCAAAGGTTTCCCTGTGTACTATCTTATCGATTTAGCGGGGAAAGAAAAGTAGTACTTCATTAAAAATGACTTGCCCTCGTACACTTTATTTAATCGAACGTAGACATGCTCAGAGATTTAAAGGTGTTTGTGGACATGTGGGCAGCCACATGTAAACTAGCTTTGCGGCCCTGTAGAATTTGTCTCTCACGCACGAGGGTTCCCCGTGTGCCTTCAGGAGAAAGTTACTGCATTTGTATCTGCTTTTGAAGCTGGGGAGTGGGTGTGGGGTGTAAGATCTTTTAACCTATTGCCAGAGTTCAACTTTCCCTATTAACAGTGCTTTAAGAATTGGTTCTGAAGGGGGTGGTGAATGAAAGCAAGAGATAGGAAAAGGAACATTGTGGGACTGTCCTGCTTCAAGGTTGTATATGGTGAGATTTTTGGACTTATGTGCAAACATGAGTATATAATTCATTATGCCTATTTTTAAAATATATTCTAATTTTTAAATGTTTTTATCATATTCTGTAGGGACATAAAGTTCAACATATCAATACTTGATGAAAAATACCTGTTCCTTATTATGCCTAAGATGTTTGCTATGTAGACAGATAGTGAGGTTAAGCTTAACAGCCTAAGTTGTTTGATAATAACAGTAAGCTTGTCTTCTGGATGGTTAACAACCTAAGTTTGCAGACCAAAATTAGAGAAAAATGAGGGGTGCAAGGAAAGCCAACATTTTGACCCTAACCTTCTAAGGTCAATTAAGACTCAGGACATATGAGAACTTGTACTGTAATGTCATGTAACTTGGTAGTGTCCCAAATTTTCTGATCAAGGAGATTATGGGGCCAAAGAGGAAAGTGATCGATGATGGAGAGTGTGCCTAAGGAGAGTCACATGGAGA